AGGAAGGCCTCCTCCCCGAAGGCCCGTAGGCGGGGGCTCTTCCCAGTTGGGGTGCTCCGGGGTTCTGCCCCAGGAACCGGTCTCTTGGGGTGTGGGGGGAGGGAGGAAAGCTGTCTCCTCTTTGGGACGGGCCCTCTCCCCGAAACATCTCGGCAGCGGTAAATTCCCGCGCCGCTCTTGTTATGGGTGCTCATGCCCCTGCTCCAGTCCCATGGCCCTGTGTGAGGTGTGTGTCTCCATCACAGGTATACAAGTGTTATTTCAGCCCATGTGCTGGCTGGCGTGCGTGCAACAGGTGAGCGACCTTAAACTTCTCAGGGTGGACACATGTCTGAGCTTGTCTTGGTATGTAAGGGCACCGGTGGACGTATCTTTGAGTTTGTGCGTGAAGGGTATGGGTCCAGGCACCTGAGAACGGATATGTTTGCATGTGTACGTGTGTGCGAAGCTACGCACACGGACGATGCTGTGCCCTCGCCGGCATAGGTACGGGTCCGCGTGTCTTTGTACAAGGATGCCGATGTGTGTATCCGGGTGTCTGGCTCGTGTGCGTGCTCTGCGTGTGTGTGCAAATGCCGCTTTCCAGTCCTGGAGCTCCATCAGTCACGGGCCCTCCTCCCGCCCTTCCCGTGTCTCGGCCCCCTAGGGATCTGAACCCGGCCACTCACCGCGGCGGCGGCTTCGGTTCCCGCTCCTCTCCCGGCCCGACCCACCTCGGACCTGTCGCGACACTCCTCTTCAGTCCCAGGACTCCAGCGGGGAAAGCCCCTTTTCCGCCCCCGGGAGGGGGGAATTCCCGTGACGTTCCCGTGCGTCACGCCCTATGCCCTTTTTCATTGGCTAAAAGTTTAACTCTGATGCCTACAGCCAATCAGGAGCGACTCTAGCGTGCCCCTTACCGGGGAAATACTCGCGCCGCGCCGGGAGAGGGGAGTGGGGATGGTGGTCAGCTAGGCGCTGTCTCAGGGTCCCGACTCCGGTCTCACTCACGCAGGCCTGCCTCAAACAGCTGGCAGCGCTGAACTCGGCTTTTGCTGTGCCTAACGCTTGGCTGGGGAGCCCCAGGGGGAAGCTGATGGGCCCCAACCCTCTGGTCCCCCGCCCAGAGAGGCGCCCCGCTGCCGGGAAGAGTTAGGGGAAGGAAGTTGATCTTGCAGTCGTCCTAGGGCGCCATCTGGCGGCCTCTCTGGAATTGCAAGGAAATCCGTAACCATCCTCTCAGATTCTAACTCCTCCCCTGGAAGAGACTCTCCGGACCTAAAACGTGTTCTATAAATGGCAGATTCACAGCGGGCCAGACTTTCAGACATGACTGAACTCAGGAGCGCCGCGCCTGGAAACGCTTTGCTTATCCGTCCCAGAGACTTGGGTATTAGAATTAAAAAGGTATCCACAATCTTAATAGTTCAAACTTCCTCCGATGCAGGAAATTGCTTTTTATATAGTCCCCAACGTCCGCTTGTACACTTCTAGTGGCAGCAAGGTCAGTGCAGGAGTTCACAAAGTACAACTCCGAGGCTGGACATCTCTGCTCAGTAGAGACTTTCTTTAGGAATGCCATGAGTACCTCCATTCCTGGAGTCATCCTACCTTGGGCTCAGAGAACACAGGCTGTTTTTTCAGATCTTTTCTGCAACTTTCCCCTAACCTTTTTTTTTTTTAATAGATTTCAGAGAAGAAGGGAGAGGAAGAGAGAGACAGAAACATCATCGATGACAGAGAATCACTGATCAGCTGCCTCCCCCACACCCCCATTGGGAATCAAGCCCACAACCCAAGCATATGCCCTTGACGGGAATCAAACCCGCCACCCTTCAGTCCGCAGGCAGACGCTCTATCCACTGAGCCAAGCCAGCCAGGGCTCCCCTAACCTTCTTAATAATGGAATTACAGGTATGCACTAGTTCTGCATAAAGGAAGACTATTATGGCTCTTGATTTGGGCTATTTCCTGTTACTTCCTCTTCCTCTTCACCTTGCCCACGAGTGGAATGTGCCAGGTACTATATTAAGGTATTTTACTATAAGTTCTTGTTCGTCCTTCCCACATCCTTAGGAGATAAATATTACCTTACTTTACTGATGAAGAAATTAAGTCTCAGAGAGGCGAAGTAACACAGCTAGAAAGGACAGAGCAAGAATTCAAAGCCAGTCTGTTAACTGTAGGATAAAGCTCTTTCCCCACAAATTCATACAATACATAGAGTGCAGAAAATAGTATAATGAACCCCCATGTTCCCATTAGTCAACTCCAACAATTCACAATGTTGGCCTGGAAATTTTAACTGACTCAAGGTTTATTGTCAGTTGCTATAGCCTCATCTAGCTGGGCTTAAGAAACTTCTTCATTGTTTGTTCCATTAATTTCCAACCTAATGGTTATTTCTGTTTTTGTTTCTAAAGTGACTTTAAAAATATATATTTCCATTGATTTCAGAGAGGAAGGAAGAGATAGATAAAAACATCAATGATGGCCCTATCTGGTTTGGCTCAGTGGACAGAGCGTCGGCCTGAGGACTCAAGGGTCCCGGTTCGATGCCGGCCAAGGGCATGTACCTTGCTTGCGGGCACATACCCAGTAGGGAGTGTGCAGGAGGCAGCTGATCAATGTTTCTCTCTCATCGATGTTTCTGACTCTCTATCCCTCTCCCTTCCTCTCTGTAAAATATCAATAAAATATATATTTTTTAAAAAAAGATAAAAAAATAAATAAAATATATTTAAAAAACTGTAAACAAACAAAAATCAAAAACAAAAAACCCCATCAATGATGAGAGAGAATAATTGATCGGCTTAGATAAAAACATCAATGATGGCCCTATCTGGTTTGGCTCAGTGGACAGAGCGTCGGCCTGAGGACTCAAGGGTCCCGGTTCGATGCCGGCCAAGGGCATGTACCTTGCTTGCGGGCACATACCCAGTAGGGAGTGTGCAGGAGGCAGCTGATCAATGTTTCTCTCTCATCGATGTTTCTGACTCTCTATCCCTCTCCCTTCCTCTCTGTAAAATATCAATAAAATATATATTTTTTAAAAAAAGATAAAAAAATAAATAAAATATATTTAAAAAACTGTAAACAAACAAAAATCAAAAACAAAAAACCCCATCAATGATGAGAGAGAATAATTGATCGGCTGCCTCCTACATGCCCCACACTGGAGGTAGAGCCCATAACCCAGACATGTTCCCTAACTGGGAATCAAATCGTCATCTCCTGGTTCACAGGTCAATACTCAACCACTGAACCATGCTGGCTGGGCTATCTCTGTTTTTGTATGCAGCCCTAGGACCTGGCCCAAAGCAGAGGCACCATAAACTCATTCTATTCATTCACCAATAAATAAGGAGGACATACTTTAGAAAACAATGTCCTTGTTTGAAGATAAAAATCAAATGGAGATATGTCAGCTGGTGGGTGATAAGTGCTATGGAGGAAAAGTAGGTAAGGGGGCAAAGAGTGATAAAAGTTTTATATGTGGCAGGCGGGGAAGGCTTCTCTGATAACATTTGAAAAGTGACTTGAAAAAAGTGGACGGAGTTATATGGATATCTGGGGGAAGAACATTGCAGGTGCAGGGATTAGCAGTGTACAGGTCTGATATGAATGTGTTTGGCATATTTGAAGCATAGTAAGAGAATTAGGTAGGTGGGATAAAGAACTTTTTATTTATTCTGAATGAGATGGAAAGCCAGGTTTTAAGCAATGGAGTGAAAATGGGTTTTAAAAAGATCCATCTGGTTTCAATGTGGAGAGAATAGAGATCATGGAACTAGAAAACAGGAGGGTGACCAGTGGTGGCTGAGGAATTGGATGTAGAATATGAGAAAAGAGGGGTCAGTTTGGCATAAGAACCTAGAAGAATGGAGCTGTCCTTTAGTGATGGGGCAGACTGGGGGAGGAGCAGATTTGTGGAGACTGGGGGTAATCAAGAGTTTTTCCTTTTAAGTTTGTTATGTTTGAAAGCCAGTGAGGCATGCAAGTGGAAATGAAAGGGGTAGTTGGACATAGTGTAATGGGTGGTATTTAAAGTCTTGACAGTGAACAACATTATCCAGTGACTGAGTATAGAGAAAGGACTTGAGAAGCTCTGGGGCATTCTACTAGTAATGTTCAGAGGCTGGAGATGCGGAGCCAACAAAGAAAATTAAAAAGGCGTGGCCAATGAGGTAGGGGAGAACCAAGAAAATAGTGTCTCAGAAACTTGAGTGAAGAATATTTCAAGTAGGGGGTGTTCACTTGAACTAAAGTTCCTTCTCCGCAACTGAGGCCCAGGGCTGAGGGGTTCTGCTTCTTAAGGCCATTCATCTCCCAAAGCAGTGAGCCCTAAAGCAAAGGTAAATACCCAAGTGCTGGGATAGCCACATTTTCTGTTGTTTCTAGGATTTTTTGGTGTGTGTGTGTGTGTGCGCCCATTGGTACTAATTCTGTACAGTTAGGGGTAATGACACCCCCATAGTTAAAAATTCATGTATAACTTTTGACTCCCCGCCAAAACTCATGCAAGCTTCTAAAGGCAGAACTTGTGGGTAAGGCTCAGATGGTAGAACAGAGACAACATAACTGTTACCAAGCCAAGAGCCTTAGTGTCTACCTGACTGTAGATCCTGGTTTTTCTGCACTCATACAGGAAAGTGCAGCCATATCTTAATTTTCCCATGGGCAGGGTGGGAAACCAAGGATAGTCTGGACTACTTGGGGAAGAAGGAAGGGAAGAGGTAGAAACTAGTATAGGAGTTTCAGGTCTCATGTTAGTATTTTTCCACATCAGGCTAATCCCATTTCCAAGGCACCCCCTTCTACACCCGAGGGAGGCACTTACAGAGGTTCAGACTCCCAGGAACAGCTACATGGTGGTGCTGAGCAAAGGGAAGCCCCAGATGCTAAATGATCACATAGCCAGCTGGGCCCAAATGAAGAGGGTGAGTGTCCCTAACTCTTTCTGAGGGGGTCAGCTGGTAGTTTAACAGGGTACCACTCCCAGAGGGGGAGGGACCATTATGGAGGAGGAAACCATAATGATGTAGATGCTTCACTTGGGAAAGCTTAATACATAGTATTCTGCATCCTGCCCATAGTACCTAAGCTTTGCAGGGGCTACACAGCCTGCCTCATTCACACTCCCACCTGTCTTACCCTGATGCAAAGGGAAAGGGGAGGGGTTCTTCAATCATGCTTCAGTGACTGGGACGAATGGAGGCTGTGGGGTGGAAGAAATGGTCCCTCCTCAATTTTCGAGCAAAATGAATGTCCCTGTGCCCACATACACATGATCACAGCTATGGGCAAGATGGCCCCCTCATATGCCCATAGGCTCCTTTTGCTCCTGGACCACGAGGCACATTAGAAGGAAAACTTCTGAATAACTACAGCTCAGCTCTGGTTTCCCTTTGACCTCAGTCTATGTTATCTCAGGTGTCTTCCTTGGAGCAGTTAGGGAAGAGGACAACTGCCCAAACCCATGGCACATCCCTGCTGGCAGAGGTGCACTGCTGTGCTGATGGTGGTCATCGAGCAGCGGAAAAGGAATCCTGACCTCAGTCCTGCCATCTGGCTGGCTTTTGGCCTGTGGCCACATGGACCAGACTGTTGGTAGGTTCAGTGTCACTTCTGTTCATGCAAGATCTAAGCCCTGGGTATTCTAAGAACATGGTGCCCACAAGTTCAAGAAGGAAACCAGAGGGAAAGGCATTAATGGTACTAAGACATTTATTACATCATAAAAAGTCCACTGTTGTCGTTTTTCCATATGTACATGTTCCTGTGGGCAGTCCCCCTGTCCAGCCCCATCTGCCCACCCCCAATGCCAATCAGCTCTCCAAACTCACCAACAAATTAATAAAAGAGGAAGAACTGAAGGAGGTGGCCCAGGGCTGATGGGAGTGGGATGGGAGAAGGAAACAAAGTGCAGAGTGGTTAGCTTGGCTCTCAATGCCTAACCATGGGCAGGAGGGACACAAGGGCAGGCACTGCAGGGCTGGCACAGTGATGCCTCCCCAGAGCTACCAGGCTGCAGGTGATACCTGAGTGTGCTCCCAGGTTGGACCCCCAAGAATGGAGAGCAGAGGAGGAAGGTCCTGCGGCCTGATTGTGGGTCCCAGGAAGGGCTAGAAAAATTCTGTTTTTTAGGTCCCCATACAAGTAGCAGCGATAGCAGCTCGAGTTGGGCCTGAAGAGTATGGCCCCTGGGACAGCTGGAAGGGGGACCAGGGACAGGTCCTGATCTCTGAGGGGCCTAGTTTAGTTAACCTCAGAGGTGGGCATGGGGTCTGTGGGGCGAGGTGTGGCCAGGAGGGGCACTGGTGAGGTGGCTTCAATGAGAGCAGGGTTGAGGATGATGGGCAGAGTCATGGGTGGCACACCCACCTGCAGTGGGGAGGCCAAGGGCTGCAGGATCAGTGGGGGCTGAGCCAGGGGTAGAGGCCCATCTGGGGTAGGGCTCAGCCTGCTGGGGCTAGATGCCACTGGTGATCCAGGGGAGCTGCTGTTGCCAGGTCGGGGGCCCTCGGACTTCTCAAAGTCTATAGTGAGAGTCAAAGTCAAAGGTGGCTGCAGTCAAACTCCCTCATACCCATCTTTGCTCCTCCCCATTCCTGTGAGCAAAATGACCCCTCCCAGGCTAAATAGTTGGGAGTCTCCCCCTGAAACTCATTCCAATGCCCAGCTACCTTATCTCTGTCCCCTACCTCCTTTGCTATACTTCTAGTTAGGTTAATTTTGGTCTGGTCTTTATTAGAATCCCTGAAGGGCAACCTTTGCATATTCTCCAAGTCCCAGACCCAGCTTTCTCTTCCCAAGCCTGAAAATCTCAAGCAGCCAGCTCCATTATAGCTTATTTGATCCTGCCATTTCTGATAGGAGAGCAGGCAAACAGGACTCTCAGGGTCTCCCCTACCCCCGGCTCACAGCCCATGCTCAGCAATCTCAAGCTACCCTGGGCCTGCTCTTAGGCCTCCTCTTTCCCAGAGGGACTCACCACAGGCTCCCAATTCAGAGGGCATCTCTGGGAGAAGTGGATGGCCAGGTGTTCTGGTGTCCCCAGCAGTAGGTGTCAGGTGGGCTGAAGGTAGAGGTTTCTGGGCATGAGGCTCCATAGGCATGGGGTCTGAGGTGGACAAAGAATCCAGATGGCAGCTCTTAGAATTTCATGCCCTGATTACCCACCAGTCTTCCCACCCACCTACAGCACAGAGAACTACTGAGCTCCAGACTTTCTGATGAAGTTGGGCTGAGCCCCCTACCCTGGATGACAGTCTGCTTGAAGAGCTCATCTCGTAGGTGGGGCAGAAAACAGTCGATGCGCTCCCAGGTAATCTCCCAGAGGGCTGAGGGGCTGCCTCCTCGGGCATCTGCACTGTGGAAAATCTCCGCTGTGTCCATCACCAGAAGCATGTTCTTCAGAGACTCAGGGATGGCCTCTGACTACACGTGGCAGTGGGACCATGAGAATAGAAAAGAGGGCATGGGAGAATATGGTAAGGAGGTAGCCACCAAGGGGGGAAACAGTAAGTCTTCCCAGCAGGTGGGAGAGGAAGCAGGCAGCAGGAGTCAGGCTGAGGTAGAACATACCAGTAAGTCACTGGAGCCTGCATGCATGTACTTGTCCATGAAGTCCAAGATGGTCAGCCAGAGGGCCGCAAAGGTAGAGAGTGACAGCAGTGGAGACAGGTGCTGCAGGAAGACCTATGGCCCGACAGCCCCTTTCAGCCGAGAGTAGGGTAGGGGCTTTCTATACCCTTCTCCAAGGCTGGGAGGCAAGCCTGTCCTATCTTGCATGGGAATCTTAGGTTAGAAATGCCTCTGAATTCCAGAAATGTCCCAGGTCCCTAAGTCCCACTGAGTCTCCATAGCTTGGGTCCTGAGCACCTACATTGCATCTCTAGGTCCTACCAGAAGCCTTGGCTTCCCTCCTTGTGAAGAGGCAGGAGAGTGGGTGGGTGAGGGTGGGGGCAATACCTTAGAGAGCAGTGTGGAAGCCCTCATCCGGGTCTCTTCCATCCCACCCACATCTGCAGGGCTGATGTTCTCCAAGAGCTTGGTCAGTAGAGGAAACAGCACCTGGTAGGTAAACAGCCAACATCTCCTAGCAAGGTCGGTGGGCAGCCTTGTCCCAAGGAAGCCAGGGGCTGGGGTGGATGAGTATTGAGCAGAAGGGGAAGGTCTGATGCAGACTGAGGATTGACATTGGGCTCTTCAGGCTGCCTTGTTCTCTTTATCTTGAGGATTTGAACTTTACCTTAAGACTAGAGGGAAGTCTGCCTGGCTGGTGTGGCTCAGCGGCTGAGCATCAATCCAGGAACCAAGAGGTTGGCAGTTTGATTCCCAGTTAGGACACATGCCCAGGGTGTGGGCTTGATCCCCAGGAGGAGTGTGTGTAGGAGGTAGCTGATCGATGTTTCTATCTTTCTATCCCCCTCCCTTCCCCTCTCTTTAAAAACCAATAAAAACATAAAAAAAAAAGATGAGAGTGAAGTCCTACCTTGTTAAAGCAGGACTCCCATTCCAGGGCATCTAGCTTTTGCAGATCATGTACCAGTAGTGCTCGTTGCAAATAGGTCAATGCCTGCATCCGCACCTGGCGCCGGGCATCACAGCATAGGCAGGCAATGCCTGAGAACAAGAACAGGCTCAGGATCCTTCAGGCACCCTGATCCTGGAACTTCCCAAGCTCCAAGTCCACCTCTGCCCCTGCCCAGCCTGCTCCCCACAAGTTTACCCTGCAGTAAGGGGCACCAGCAGTGGGCCCAGAGGGTGCGCGAATCCGCTTCGATCTTCTGGCCACTTGTCTCCAGGTGGCGCTGCTCCTCTGCCCATGAGCTGTAGATAGAGGCTGCCCGAATGTGCAGGGTGTGCATCAGGTCTAGCAACTGGGATCACAGGAGGGGCAGGACATGAGTGGGGTTAGGTCTGGTCAAATCCCCCACCCACTACTGTCCCTGACTGAGTCCTCAAGGGATCCCCTAGTACCAGTCACACCATACTTCAACCCTCTCACTGCTCCCTTCTTGACTTTATGAGCTAGTTGCCCCGTCCTGGCCAGTGTTTCCCAAAGTTGAGTATTAGTCCTAGTAAAAAAGACTTGAGAAGGGGGCGTGGACTAAGTATTTAATAACACTGAATTACACAGTGATATATATACTTTCTTTTCAATTCTCTTTCACACCTGGTAATACATAAAACCTTATTATGTTATTTTAAAAACAGAAAGCATACATCAGGTTTGGAGGCTTTGATGGGTAATAGTATCTGGCTAGATTTAATAATTTGTTTTAATCATTTTTCTAAGGCAATTAGTTTCCATTTAGTTAGTGATATAAATTCTGCTCATAAAATAAATTTTATATGCCTTGAATAGACAGAATAACTCTGGAAGGATAGACAAGAAACTGGTGGCAGTAGTTGCCTCTAGTGAGAACTTATTGCTAGGGACAGAAATGGAATGGGGCTTACTTTTATCTGTTTACCCTTTTGTACCATTTAAACTTTGTACCACGTGCATGTATTACCTATTCAAAATAAACCTTAGTTTCAATATTGAGCAAACAAGGACTTACAGGTGGGAACACTATAGAGGTGGTGGCTGAGGACCTCGGCCCTTCCTCTCAGTCCTGGCTATCCCTGGCCCCATCCACACTCCCAAAGTCAGGTGCAGGGAGAGAAGAGGAAGTAAAGGGTGCCATACTTACGTCCTGACTGACCTGTAAAGACACCGTATGGTAGCTGACAGGAACGCCTTCATCCTCATCGTCATCACTATGCCCTCCTCGAGTGGCATGTTGGCTAGAGGTTCGAGGCCGTCGAAGCACTGAGCCCTCCTTGGATTTCTTCTTGAAGCGGTTCCCTTTGCTGTCATATTTGTGACTCTTGCTACGTTTCTCTTGGGACTTGCACCCTGAGCAGAGTCAGATCCAGGTCACATTTCCACATCCATGGGCACATATCCCTATCCCCGTCTATTCACAATGCTCCTCCCCAACTGCCCCTTTGTCAGTTGACCCACCACCATTAAGACTGGCTTCGACAAAGATGCGGAGAGTCTTGACACAGAGCTCAAAGTTGTCAGGTGTGATGTGGGCAGCGTCACGCACGATGAAAGACAGTGATTCCACACACTTAAGCAGAGACTTAGTGTCATGAGGTCCGAGGTCCAGCCCCACTGTTAGACTGTACTGATTGACCAGGGGTGAAGGGCCTGGTCGGTTGGACCCAGTCCCAAGCCCTGGCTTGGAGTTATCGATGTCATCCTTCCCCACCTGTAAAGTACACAGAGGAGCTTGAACCAGATCTTCCCCTGGATGCCCTCTCAGAGGACTAGGAATCTTTCCCACAGGCCAAGGAGGGAAGTCTCAGCTGCTGTCCATCACTTACCACTAACCAACCGCTGTTGACCACGTCAGCATCTGTGGCTGATCGGTGGATCTTGCCAGGCCTGCCATGGTCAGCGTAGACCTCTGAGTCAGAAGTGTATCCTCGGTCCAGACTCGTATCATTTTGATGGTAGGATGGGAGTTCACTGTCTGATTGGGCCCCTGAGCCGGCAGGGAGAAAGGCAGAATCAAAGTGAGCATGGGGGACACTGGGTTGAGGGAATAATTTCAGCTCTCTGAAGAAAGGCGCCGAAGCCTGGCTTCTCTTTCTTGGTCTGGTTTAGTTTCAGCCTGTCACCACAGGGCTAAAGGATGGTCTGGACAGCTTCTCTCTTGACCAAATAGGGCAGCAGACTAATTTGGGTTCCTGATGGCATCTAGGAGCAGCTGTCAGGGGAGGGAGGTGGCAGTTTCTCAGTTTTTGATAAACCAGTCCTCAGGACAGCAGTAAGCCTGGCTTCAGAGCCTTCTCTGCTGCCTACTTGCCTTCATGCTGTTTAACTTGAGGAGAGGCCAGCTGGTATAGGAAATTCTGGGAGCAGATGGCAGAAGCCATGAGTATTTAATCTGCTGAATATAATAACCTGTTTTGTTTTCCTGTATCAACCTCTGGGACCATAATGGTTTATCTGCCAGTGTGGGTCTCTCTGGGAAAGGGCTTACCAGCATCAGGTGCATCGGCCCTGGTGGTGGCCTGCAGGGCAGCTGGCGGCTTCACGCCTGAGCCAATGCACTCCAGCAGCGTGAAGAGGGTGGCCCAGTCATCACCTGAGTGAATGTTGGCTGCATTGGTCTTAAGGAGTTCATGGAGCCCAAAGGCTACCTGATGACTGACTCGGGACAGCACGCTGGGCTTCATCAGTAGCAAGATGCGCAGGGAGAGCAATACCTGGGTTGGGGTGGGAAGTGGGAAGTGGAACACAACTTCTTGGCTACTCTCCTTTCCCACCAGTCTTCTTAGGCCAGTAAGGACAGTTTGACTAGGACCCAACTTAGGATACAGCTGCTGGTCTTTCCTTTTTAAATTAAAATATTTACTGTGCTAAAACCGGTTTGGCTCAGTGGATAGAGCGTCGGCCTGCGGACTGAAGGGTCCCAGGTTTGCTTCCGGTTTAGGGCATGTACCTGGGCTGCGGGCACATCCCCAGTAGGAGATGTGCAGGAGGCAGCTGATCAATGTTTCTCTCATCATCGATGTTTCTAACTCTCTATCTCTCTCCCTACCTCTCTGTAAAAAAAATCAATAAAATATATTAAAAAAAATATATTTACTGAGATAATTATAGGTTGATATGTATTATAGGTAAGAAATAATACAAAGAGATCCCTTACACACTTTGCCCAGTTTACCCCAATGGCAATATTATGCAAAGCTATGGTATAATCATAACCAGAATACTGACATTGATATAATCCACTGATTTATTCAGATTTCCTCCATTTTACTTCTACTTAAGTTGTATGTATTAAATTCTACACAATTTAGTCACCTGTGTAGGTTTGTATCCACCACTAGTAAAGATGCTGAACAGTTCCAACACCACAGGATCCCTTATGTTACCCCTTATAATAACACCTGCCTCTTTCCTGTGCTCATCCCTAACCTCTGGCAATCTGTCTAAAACAGTGATGGCGAACCTTTTGAGCTCGGCGTGTCAGCATTTTGAAAAACCCTAACTTAACTCTGGTGCTGTGTCACGTATAGAAATTTTTTGATATTTGCAACCATAGTAAAACAAAGACTTATATTTTTGATATTTATTTTATATATTTAAATGCCATTTAACAAAGAAAAATCAACCAAAAAAATGAGTTTGCATGTCACCTCTGACACACGTGTCATAGGTTCGCCATCACTGATCTACAACTTTTAAAACTATGTCATCTCAAAAATTTATATAAATGGCCCGGCTGGTGTGGCTCGTGCAGCTCAGTGGTTGACCCATGAACCAGGAGGTCACGGTTTGATTCCTGGTTAGGGCACATGCCCAGGTTGTGGGCTGGATCCCCAGTAGGGGGCATGCAGGAGGCAGATGTTTTTATCTATCTCCCTTTCCCTTCCTCTCTCTGAAAAAAAAAACCCAAACCAACAAATAACCAAAACAAACCCCACAGAAACTTTAAAAAAATAAAGATGTGCTTTTAAAAAATTTATATAAATGGAATTATATAGTTTATAACTTTATGGGATTGGCATTTTTCACTCAGCGTAATTCCAAGTTGTTGCATGTATCAATAACTTGTTGCTTTTACTTGCTGAATAGTAAGTACTCCATGGTATGTATGAACTACAGTTTATTCACCTGTTGAAAATTATCTAAGCTGATTCCAATTTTTGGCTATTACCATGAAAAATTCTATGAATGTTCATCTACAGATTTTTATAAGAAAGTATATTTTCATTTTTTGGGATAAATGCCCAAGAATGCAATTGCTGGATTGTGTGGTAATTGGACATTTAATTTTAGAAGAACCTGCCAACAGAGTAGCTATACCATTTCACATTCCCACCAGCAATGTATGAGTGACCCACATCCTTGCCAGCACTTGATATTTTTACTTTAGCCATTATGATATATGTATATGATATCTCATCGCAACTTTAATATGTGATTTGCAAACATATGTTCCTTATTTTTTCATCCTTTTCACAGGGCTATCATAAAGAACTTTTTAGTATTGATAAAATCTAATTTATCATTTTTTCCTTTTATGGGTTTTTCTTTTGGTGTTAAGACTAAGAACTCTTTGCCTAGCTCCTGAAGATATCCACTTATGTTTCTCCCTAAAGGTTTGATATTTTACATTTAAATCTTTGATCTATTTTGAGTTAATTTTTGTATAAGATATGAAGCTTCTCCACTATGGATTTCAATTGCTTTGGCAATTGAAAAAGTTATCCTTCCCCCATTGGTTTTTTTTTTTTAAATCGGTTTTGTACCTTTTCCAAAAAATTAGTTGAGCATCTTTGTGTGGGTCTATTTCTGAGTTCTCTCTTCTGTTCCATTGGTAGAGGGTGTCTATCCCTCTACCAATACCACACAGTTTTGATTACTATGGCAACATAGTAAGCCTTAATATTACTTTCTTCTTTCTTAAGAGATTTGGCTATTCTAAGGCCTGTGCTTTTCCATCTAAATTTTATTTATTTATTTAAATATACATTTATTGATTTCAGAGGAAGGGAGAGGGAGAGAGAGATAGAAACATCAATGATGAGAGAGAATCATTGATTGGCTGCCTCCTGCACGCCCCCTACTGGGGATCAAGCCCACAGCCTGGGCATGTGCCCTTGATTGTAATCAAACCGGGGACGCTTCAGTCCCCAGGCAGACGCTTTATCCACTGAGGCAACCCAGCTAGGGCTAAATTTTAGAATAAGTTTGTCTATGTCTACAAAAACTCCTGCTGGCATTTTCATAGGAGTTGCATTAAACTTATAGATCAATTTGGGGAGAATTGACATCTTTACCAGGTAGAGTCTTCTAATCCATGAACATGATATGTTCCTTCATTTATTTAGGTCTTCTTGGATTTCTTTAATATTTTGTAATTTTCAGCATACAGATCCTATACATGTTTTATTAGGTATATATCTAAGTATTTCTTTTTTGGGGGAGCACTTGTAAATGGGTATTTTTTTTTAAGTTCCATATGTTTATTGTCAGTACTGTATATAGAAATGTGATTCATTTTATATCCTGGGACCTTGTAAACTCACTTATTAGTTCTATGCTGCTTGTCTTTAATAGTTGGGCCAAGAGATCTCAGGAGGGTCCAAAGCATTAGAGGAAAACAGATATAGGGCTGGGACTGCCACAAAGCAGCAGCCATCTGCCCCTCAGAGCTGATTTATAGGAGTCAGCAGAGGCGCTGAATATCAGCTTTATACCTGAGGGTGTTCTAGACTTATCCCCACTGCCACCTGTTAGATTCCCCCAGCCCCAAGTTGGTCACTGGGCTCATTCTATGGGGCACTAACTGTACTCTGTCTCAGACCATACCCACAACGAACACTGTGACTTTAGTCCCTTGTATACCTTCCTGCCTTCCCAGCTGTACTCTGCTTACCTGGCCGCTTATCTCTTCTCTCCGGAGTAGCCGAATGGCCAGGCGCAGTAGCCCCACCACTGCCCGATCCACAAGAAAGCAGAAATCCTGTGCCTGGACACATAGGTGATATAGATGGTCTCGAACAGTCTGCCACACACAGCCCACTCGGTCCCTTAGGAACATAAGAGATGGGGATAGTCTCAGCTAGAGAGGTCACTAGGCAATAAGGCTCCCTTTGTGATTCAGGCTAGGCCAGGATTGGGCAAACTTTTTGACTCGAGGGCCACAATGGGTTCTTAAACTGGACCGGAGGGCTGGAACAAAAGCATGGATGGAGTGTTTGTGTGAACTAATATAAATTCAAAGTAAACATCATTACATAAAAGGGTACGGTCTTTTTTTTTTTTTTAGTTTTATTCATTTCAAACGGGCCGTATCCGGCCCGCGGGCCGTAGTTTGCCTACGGCTGGGCTAGGTCTTTCAGGGCTCACTGGTATTATACGCTGAGCAGACAGGAATAACGAGCAAGCTTCTCCTCCACTGCCTATAGCTTCATGTGCTTCTTGTCCCTAGAGCCCACTCAGCAAGAAGGCTCTAGGCTTCCATCCCTCTGGAATAAGCTCAATGTGAGGCCTGCTAAAGAGGCCTTCTACCTGTTCTCTAGCACAATCCTCAACAGCATCTCCAGGCAGAAAGCAGCATCCTCCTCATCATATGTCTCTTCATCTGGTGTCACTGAGACGAGAGCCTAGAACAGAACAACAGCAGAAAAGTAGGCAGCCACTGCCCTGCCCTGACAGAAATTGACTTTACATCACTGCCCCTATCTCCCCTCCCAGATTCAGCCAGCCCTTCCTTTTCTGTCCTCTTCATTCTGTACCTTCATGAGCTCCTGCAGTGACTCCAGCTGGAGAAACTTGCTTTCTGTGATCATCTTTTCTGGGTCACATTGCTACAGGGGGCACAAGAGAAAAGGAAGGTGTCAGTGACAAGGGGTAGAGGAAAGTGAACTTTCTTAAGAGCCAGAGAGAGAGCAGGAGTCAGTTCTGGTCACAAGCTCTCAATGATTCTATTCTTCAGTTCACAGTCCAGTGGGGAGGGGTCCAGGGGTAGGCAGGCAGTTACCTTGATACACTCTAAGGCCACTCTCTTAGCCTCCTGGTTCTCAGTGGATGGGCCCCGCACGCTAGACTGCTCAGTGCCACTTAGTGTCAGCCAGCTCACAAAGCTCAGCACTGTCGACTCTCCTCTGTAGAAACAGTATAAACCCTGGTGAACTCCAAAGTCACATTCTCTCTCCCCAAGGCCTTTAGCCTCTGATCTGCCCTTACCGGTTTGATGGTATCTCCTCCCGTAGTAGAGAGATCTTGCCATTGGGATCCACAAAATCTTCTACCTGGGAAAGCAGGTCAAAAATAATTTCTTTCTACATGTCCTTTGCATTTCTTGCTCCCCCATGCAAAGTTCTCTGGCTTTCTTCTTGTAGCTCTCTGCTCTACACTATTGATTGGGCCCCCACCATATGGTGACTGGCAATGACTTCTACCAGTCTTCCTTGACAGCTAGGCCCCACTCAAGACCTGTGGTCTTACATTTGAGGTATTCCTGGTAAGCTTCAGCAGGCATCAGGCCCAGTGATACTCTCAACCAGTTCTATATACTAGCAGCATATATGCTTGGAGCTCTTGCCTTGCTACTAATTTTTTTTTTTTAAATTCCAGAGAGGAAGGGTGAGGTAGAGAGAGATAGAAACATCAATGAAGAGAGAGAATCATTGATTGGCTGCCTCTTGCACGCCACCTTCTGGGGATCGAGCCCACAACCCGGGCATGTGCCCTTGAATTGGAATCAAACCTGGGACCCTTCAGTCTACGGGTCTACGATCTATCCACTGAGTCAAACCAGCTAGGGCTTGCCTTGTCACTACTGATTAGTCTCCTACCAAGAATTACCTCCACCATAGCCTTGGGCAGCAGTTGGGCTCGGGAGAGCTGTAGCATGGCCTCCATGATATTTTTCCAGCCCTCTCGAAGGATGTCGCCATGACGATGGGCCAAATGGAATACTGTCTTGGCTGCAATGTGGGCTTTAGGGTTGCTTCCAAACACACTGGGCAGGTTCTCAATAGACTGGAAAACAAGATGGGAAGAAGTGTAGGGCCTGGAAAAAGAGAACCTCTTAGGCCTCAACCTATGGTACCACGAGGGTCCTTCTGCTGTATTCAATCCCCAATACTAGTAGGAAGGGCTAACCTGGATAAGGCCTTCCCTACTACTGCATAGCCTTTCCTATCCCCAGTTACATGAGTGATGCTATTCTCATTCTAGGGTGTACAAGACAGAAATAGCTTAAGCTCTATTGTAATCAAGTGGGAGGTGAGGAAATATGCTGAGGGAATCATCTCTGAAGATAAAAGTAATCCATGGCTAAAAGAGGTTCTCCTTTGGAACTCTAGGTACATATTCCACCTCCCCCTCCCCCAACACACACACACACACACTCACCTCACTACTGAGAGCTGTGAATTTGCACAAAGAGATGATGAGATTGTCAAAGACATCGCTGAGACCATAGTGAGCGGAGATCATGGCACACTTCCTGTAATGTCACCCCCATCCCAGAAACAGAGTTACTGGAAGGCCGGGCAGCCCTTCCAACTCCCTGAGGAGGACTGCTTGGGATTCTTCCCCAATCAGTCCCAGGAAGAAACCTTTTACTCTTAAGTCTGTTTAAAAGTGAGTTTTCCTGAGATCAACCAAAGAACTTGTATGAATATATGTATAAGCCATGGACAAAAACAATAGGGTGGTGAAGGCCTGGGGTAGGAGGTGGGGATGGGCTAGATTACAGTGGTTCTCAACCTTCCTAATGCCTCAACCCTTTAATACAGTTCCTCATGTTGTGGTGATCCCCAATTTCATTTTTATAAATTGAACATAATTAAAGGATAGTGATTAATCACAAAAACAATATGTAATTATATGTTTTCCGATGGTCTTAGGCGACCCCTGTGAAAGGGTTGTTCGACCCCCAAAGGGGTCATGACCCATAGGTTGAGAACTGCTGGGCTAGAAGAAGTCCATGGGGGTGGGGGGAAGGGGACCTATGTAATACTTTCAACAATAAAGAGTATTAAAAAAAAAAAGAGTGAGCTTTCCCAAGCTTCGGCCTCCCTCCAAAAACTCAGGAAGAACCAACTCTAAAGAAAATAAGAGTAGAATTCAAAGAGGTATGGAGGCAACCATGTTAGCTCAGAGAGGTGGTTAAGAGGTCAGTACTAAGGCTAAAGGTGAGCTACCTGAAGCCTGAGATGGCTTTCTGGATGATTGTCTCCTCAAGGCTTTTGTCAAAGACGTAAGAGAGAGCAGCAATAGTGGGGCCCCATGTCATGGTGAAGAGGTCAAGATCGTAGCTACCAGCAGGCACACGTAGGAATATGCCCTCTGGGGTGGCACCTCGATGAAGCAGTACATTCCATACATAGTTCTCCCGAACCAAGCCTGTCTGCTCCTCGGGCATCACAATTTCTTCATTCCTATCAGAAAGTAAGAGAATGAGTAGGTGCACTGCTATAAACCTGACTGCTCTCAAACTAGGATAAGGGACTTTAACCCTTATCCACAAATGAGAGGCCATCAAAATTGAAGTTCAGTGGTTGGCTTCCCACACATGAGGGAGAAAGAGGTGTGCCGTAATTCTCAAGGACCTGTCTCTAAGTGAGGCCTTTAGTTCTATAGTAAGATAAACAATTCTACCTTTTCTGATTTGTAGTAAAGAACTAAGTGTCCCATCTCTGACCTCTGATCAAAAATAATTTCTTTCTACATGCAACTGGAGGGGACTAGACAGGAAAAGTCAGCTGCTCTGGGTTCAGGAAATGGGATCAGGACACTCCACTTAGCAGGGACAGTTTGGAACCTGGCTTAAAGTACTAGTCCCAATATTGTTCAGGTTTCTTTAAGGAAGAAAAGAGTTTGGAGAGAGGGTTTGCCCAGCTACTGTAAGTCCTAAGGCTAAATCCAGGGCATATGAGTTATTGCAGCCTGATATGACTCTAAAATCTGGAAAAGGGAGCAGTGTTCTACTTATCAGAGATGCTACATCATCCTTCATACATACTCACTTGATGGCATGGTACATATCTTCCAGGATGTCTTGTTCAAAGTCCTTTCCTCCATTCACACCTTTTAGGTTTTTGCGAAACTCCTAGAGACAGACCAAGAAGCTTTGCCCCTAATGTCAATGCTGAAGCCCCACCCAAGGAACCCTGGGTCTGTGATAAATAGGACTTAGGAAACAGTAAGTGAAAGAACCCACTTCCCCACCCGTTCTTCCTCTGGATTGGCCAGCCTTCCCTGATTTCCAGAACCCTGTCGACTATGCCCACTGGACATCCACATCATTTCTGCTTTCTCCAAAGCTTGCTGGATCTTCTCTGCCTTGGCTGGGATTCAAGCTTACCTCCAGGGTCATGGGTGCATTCTGTTTACGAACATTGTGGTTGTGCTGGTCAGTATTAAGCATGATGACAGCATAGGCCAGGGCAAAGCAGGCATCACTATTGGCAAATGGGGAGCCATTACAATTCTGAAAAAGCAAAGACCCCACCTGTGTCAATGCCCTTCTCTGGCCCATTAAACCCTCAGCACCAACCCACTGGATCAATGCTGACACAGAGGAGAGGTACCACCCAGAAAGTGGCCAATCTCTTGCCAACTCCTTAAACAGAAGCTAGACTGGAAAGTTCACTTTCCAGTGATGATGCTCTTAGCCTTCTTAGGAGAGTAGCTGTGTCCCTCAGTTGGAACCAAAGAAACCTTCAGTCAAATTAACTTGGGAGGTTAGGCTTAGCCCCTGCCACTCAAACTCACCCTCCAATGCTCTGTGAATGCCTCCAGCAACCTCTGGATGACTGGTGCTTCCCCAGGCAAGCGGAAGGCTTCCAGGTAGAGGCGAAGAGCTTCATCCAGTCTAAGACCCTGAAAGCTGAAGGTGCTATAGGGAGAGGAAGAAGGATGATGCTGAAGATATGTAAGCTACAAATGTTAGGTTCTCTATTAGCTACAGTTCTTCTAACCTTCTCCTACTGGAAAAGAACAGTCTGAGGGTGCTAGCAAAGAGAAGGCATCTCCTGGCTATTTCTAACACAGACCAGCATTTGACAACTCCTAACCTTAGTATTTTTCATATCAGCGCATTCTTGCCTTTCTTAGAAATCTCATCCCCTGGGGCCCAGAACCTATCCTGTGTTCAGGGACCCTGCTCCATCCTAGCTCCCAAAGCTATCTTGCTCTTTTAGATCTAACAGATAAAAGTGATGGAAAGAGGAAGAGTGTGTGACCTGGGTCACTAACAGAAACTAATGGAGACTGCTTTTAGGGAAGGATGCTGTCTCTCCAAATGATCACCAACTATGTCCCATATTTCTTGCAGCTTCCTCACCTCACAAAACTCTCCAAGAGGTCAATGTTTTTGCGGTCACTCACAAACTCTCCAATCATCTTCTTGTCCAACCGAGGGTTTTCTCGAAGCCATTGGGCTACCTCTGTATTGTCCATTGGGATGGTGAGGAGGCCTTTCTCCTGTAGAAACTGGATTCCCTTCTTTGGTTTCTGGTTGAATTGCTCTGTGCCAGTGATCAGAAGCTGGAAAAAAAATACTAGAGGTATTAGAAACTGCTCTTCCGTTAACCAGATAAGGCCAGGCTGGAATTCATCATAGTCCACAGCTTGTTACCTAACAGTCTCCTAAAATGTGGTTCTAAGTGACTCTAGGGCTAAGGCTGATCGTTCTGGCCCTAGCTTTCCTCAGTCTTCATGTCTTATCAGAGCTGGCTGAAGAGCTCCTTTTCACTCCTTTCCTGAGTGCTTAAGATGCATAGGACAGCCCATAGCCTACTCCATCTATAGGATCATGAAAAAAGTAGAAGTGAGTAGAGAAGGGTTTCTTTTCTACAGTTTTACAGCCATCCCTGGCATCTGTTTATGGGCAGCGTCTGGTTTATAGCCTAGCTTGATTTCCCCATCTTTCTTTGATTTTCTAGCTCTTGAGGCCCTGAGGTTTGAAGGAAAAGGTGAACTAACTATGATAACTTAACCTTCTGTCTGTCTACTCACAGCCCTGCAATCAAGGGCACACATAAACCAAAGTCATTTAGGCTAGCAATAAGAGGAAGAAAGGGTTAAACAGAAGGTTTTCAGTGTGTTTTCTTAACACACAGTTATTTGAACTTTACTAAAACACCAGGATTAATTTCAATTTCCCTTTATTGCCAATCATCACCCCAGAGCTCAAGATGACCAGACCAATAATCTTCAGGGATCCACATGATATCAGCTACCAGGGCTCTTGTGACCACCAGTAACACTTGACTCTCAGAACAGCAATTGTCCCATGGTAGGCATGACTATCTACATGGCTTTGGAGTAAGGGAAGGACTTGAAAGAAAACTGGAGATTGCTGAAGTACCAACAAGTCCAGATTAGCCTTAGGAAATTGTACAATGAGCTGCTAGACTGTCCCTCATCTTCTGGGATAGAAACCCTACAAAGAACACTCTGACAGAAGTGGGTAGAAGCTGGGCTCTGGATACATCTGTATGTACCTTCTTTTTGTTTTTAATTTCAATCAGTTCCCGTGGATCTGGCAGGAGACAGGAAAATCGAGGTGGCTTCCGGGTAAACTTTTTGTCAGCTAGGAATGGGAGGCAGAGCGGGAAAAACCCATTAAGACCTCTTTTACCAGGAAGTGACTTTTGGAAATTGCTGATACATTCTACAGTGAAAAAGAATGCCTCAGAAATTTTCTTGTCCTCATCCATTTCCCACTTCCTTAGAGGTTCTATCTTCTAGGGCTCCATATGTCTTCTTTCCTCTCGCTGGGTTTGAAGGCATGGTGAACAGCTAAGGTTCACTCAGGTACTACCCTAGGGTGTCTCTGTTTCCCCACCTCTGCTCTCCACCAGGAACCCCAGTTAATCTGGTTTAGGATTACAGACACCCAGTACCCACCCCCAGAGTCACCAGCTTCCTCCAGATCATTGCATCCTGGCTTCCCATGTTCTGCTGGCAGCCGCCCTCCACCTGGAAGATGCAGGCCTAGGATGTCTGGGGCCATGCCTACAGCTTTCCCATCGCTGGCTGCTCTCTCAGCTGGTAAGAGAGAAGAAGATAAGTGAAGACTTATGGAGTAAGCTGCAGGAGAAGTTGAGTCCCTGGTCAAGGAGATCTGCATTCTCCCACATAGGTTGCCAGCCTTGAACAGGACAAACACAAGCTCAAACAAACAGTCACTATCCCAGGTCGGCCAAGCATTAGATTATAGAATTTAATAAAGAAATTAACCAGTCACTTTCCTTGATCTTCTGCAACCTCAATCTCAAGGGGAAGTTTGAGAAGATTCATTAGAGTGAAGGGAGATACTGGGGGTGAGGGAAGGTAGGACCTGGAACTTTTAGGGACAGAAGTCCTATATCCTTTCATTTATATTTTATTTTCTCTCCATAAATAATTCTGTAAAAAAGCCAAAGTGTGGAGAAGAAAGGGTAAAGTCTGCTAATCTGCTTGCTTGGCCTGTGATTCAAACCACCAAACCTCAAAAACACAGAATATGGAGTACCCCAGAGGAAGTGATATAAGAGCAGGAAAAGAATTCAGAGTAGAGAAGAGATAAGCATAGAACCCTGAGATCCTCGAAGTAAGAAATGTCTCTTACTATTGCTGACTTCTCGGGTACCGTCTACTGCCTCATAGCTAGGTCTGGCAGCTTCTTTCTTCTCTTGCTGGGTAAGGTTGTTGAGGACTTTAGCCTGGCAGTGGGCTTCAGTGCTGTTAATCACTGTCAACAGGGCATCAAGAGACAGTAGATGTGTTGTATAAAGCTGACCAGACACAGGAAAGGCATTCTGGAAAGTAAATAGATCCAGTAGACTTGAGCTTAGAATACTTTACACTTAACTGATTCTTTTCCAAAAATCCCAAACTTCCTATAACTTCTACATTGAAATGCCTTTCTTCTTCCTGTTCCCCAATTCTCAAATGTTTCCCTCCCTGTATTTAGCTTTCTTACTACAACCAGAGAGATTTCCTTAATATAGCCTTCTTTCTAGAATCCAGTGATAATGCTCAGCACCTTGGACAGCAGCTTGGTGAGGTCTTCAAAGAGGTTGGAACAGTAGTAGTCACAATCATAGTTGATATAGAGCTCAGTGACAAAGCTGGGGATGTGCCAGAGCTGCACAATGGCCTCCAGTGCCATCTCCTTCATCTCATAAGGCATCTTAGGGTTCTCCATAGTGATGATCTCCATGAGCTTTTTGATGTACATCTGGCAATAACCCAATAATTGCCATTTGGGTGGGAAAAGAATTCAAAATAGGAAGAAAAAAAATTGGACAGAAAAAATATTAAACAGGAAGCAAAAGCCCTGTCAGGAGGCATGCATTAAGAGACACTTATATGGTGAACACACAATACATTGTACAGATGATGTGTTGCGGAATGGTGCATCTGAAACCTGTATAATTTTGTTAACCAGTGTTACCCCAATAAATTAAATAAAAAGACCCCTAAAAAATAGATACTTATAGCTATTCCATTCCCTAAATACATCCCCTCTTTGGCCTCCATGTTTGGGGATAAGGCCTGATTCTCTAGCTCATGCCTGATCCAAACAAGTCTCCTGTTGCCCTTTCTGTGCGATGTGAGCCGCCTGTCCTATTCAGAGGTCCTTCTTGCAATTTGGTGGCTAAGCTGGCTTGACTTGCCTGGCTGTGTTGCAGAGGGGCTGCTAGGCAGAAGGGTAGACCAACTCATGGTGAGGTTACCTGCTAGTCCTCATATTTGGGTTCTCCCATTTTATCGTCAGCCCATTTTCTCTAGGTTCCTTTTGATTTCTCCCTAAAGAGGCCAACCAATAAACCAAACTAGAGAGGCTAGAAGCATGCTCCTACAGAAGCCCCAAAATCTCACCCATGACAGAGTTAGCTGCACTGATGATGCATCTTCCTACTTTTCATCTTTCAAGGTTGAGAAACTCACCTCCAATTGGAACTTGAGGTGCTCCCTCATGCTCTCAAACAGTAGGAAGCACACCCGCAGGGAAGCAGCATAAAGGTTCATTCGCTCTATGCTGAGTAGCTGGAGATCAGAGTAGGGTAGGCATTAGGTTTCTGAACCTAACTATGGTTCAACCAAGAAAAAAGCAGGAGAGCAAACAGTGAAGTTTTCAATAAGGTTGTGCTCTGAGGGGATTCTATATCTAGCCATTCCTATATTTCCCTTTGGCTTCCAGAGTCCCCAGAAATTAACAGTCATCTTGACCATGACTACTGGCCAAATGGGGAGAGAGGTTCTTTTCTGGGTCCTATCATGAATCAGTCAAACCTCCCTGTGCTTCCCTAACTCCATGAGAGACCTTGAAAAACAACCAGGAGCTCTGAGCCCCTCTAGAAATCCAGTCTTACCTGGAATAAGTGGCGGCACATCTCATCCTTAATGAGGCCCAAGAGGGTTTGGCACTGGGCTACAGGGGCTGACTCAAGAGCCACTGTCAGCAAATGCAGTCCCATGTGGATCATAACCTCGGAGTTGTGTCGGTCATGTGGATTGGTGAGGGAGATGAGGAACCGGAAGAGCTCTCGGACGCAGGGAAGACCATAGGGGACCAAAGCTGTACCTGGGAGAAGGCCAGGAGGGAAGTGGGACTCCCTAGAAACAACTGGATTGATAGCTTGGCCTAGCTTTGCCCTGCGTTTTACAAGGCAATTTCAGATTAGTGACTTCAAGAAAAAAAAATTGTTTTCTTCTGGGGAAGTAAGGAGCCTACTTATTTATTGAAGGGAGTCAGAACCGATGATCCTACTTTTCTATTAAAAGTCCCAAGTGCCCTAGCTGGTTTAGCTCAGTGGATAGAGCATTGGCTTGGGACCTGAAGGGTCCCTGGTTCTATTCCAGTCAAGGGCACATGCTGGGGTTACAGACTTGATCCCCAGCAGGGGGTGTGCAGGAGGCAGCCAATCAATGATTCTCTCTTATCAATCATGTTTCTCCCTTTCCCTCCCTCTCCCTTTCTCTCGAAAATCAATAAAAATATATTTTAAAAAAAGTCCCAAGCTTTCTATTCTTCCCTCTCACTTCTTATTGTCCACCAAAGCCCCTCTCTCTATAAGTTAGGGAAGGGCTCCATCCATGCCAACAGCCCTCTGACTTGATTCCATTTCCTGACTAGAGCTCGAACTAGCAGATGCTACATGTCCAAGACAGTCTAGGCTCAGGCAGCTTAGTGGATTGGATGGGGGGGAGTGAAGAGGCAGAGCCTATCTAAGGGTACTCACCTTCTTTCTGGGAGGACTGTGTAAAGCGCACACCTCGGGGATTGACGTAATCCATGTCATGTACAGAGGCAGAATCAGAGTGGTCAACAGGGGATGTGCATTCTTCTAACACTTCAGGGATAGATTCCACCGACGCTGACTGAGCCTTTTCCACATGGGCCCCTTCCTGCTGGGACCAGTAGCAGGGGGATAGAGAAGAGGGATGAAGCAAGAGCAACTCTGAACTTACTTTCCTGAAATATCTGTCATCCAAGTGTGTCTAATGGATTTCAGGTGTCGGGGCCAGCTTAGTGGGCTATGAATCAATGGAAGGAATATGGACTCAGAAAACATGTCCTGAGGAATCACTGACCTATAATGATTCGAACTCTAGAAGCAATAGAGGCTCTTTTAGGCTGGAGATTTAGATCATTATCTTCCAGAAAAAGCCACAGGCAGCTCCCTCACCTTTGCCAAGTACTTCCTATCTGTATGCATAACTTGATAAATCCCATGAGCTAACTCTCACAGTGAGTCATATCGTAGGTTTTTTAGGCAGCACAGCTAATTCTAGGAAACAGGGAAGAACCCACCCTACCCCAACCATCTTTTTAGCCAACGCCTGGATAAAGGATCTAAAGGATCAAGCTAATTTCCACAGTGGAAGTCTGGAGAGGGGCCTTTAGAAATGAAAGCCATACCTGGGAGTCAGGCTGCTCAGGAACCCCTAGCTCACTGCTGCCAGGCTCTGTAGCTGTGCTGTACCCTGAAGAGCCAGGTTGCTCCAGGTCAGTGAGGTCCTCCTTAGAAGTGGCCTGGGAGGAGCACTCCAGGCCACTGTCTGTAGAGGGGCTGACCACTGCTGAGGCAGCTTCTGAACTTGCAGAGGAGATAGGAGTGGGCACATCAATGAAGGGCATGCCACCTGCCAAGCAAAGTAAGTGAGGCTTAAAGAAGAGACACTCTGTGGGAAGCATGGTACCAAACTGGTACCTTTATGGTACCAGAACTGTTACCTTTATGGTACCAGAGCTGTTCTTAGATTGCATACTAATCTCTGTATACACTGATCTCTACAGTAGTCAGAGTTCCCCTGGAAGGAGAACAAACTTAAGTCACTGACGAATTTCTAAATGGTCACTGTCTGTTCTTGACCTGGAGTTTCCCATTTTTGCTCTCAGCAGAAAGAAACCAAAGCCCTTCAGTTGGCTGGTCTTCAATGTCAAAATCCCTGAGAGAGAGAGAGAGAAAGAGAGAGAGAGAGAGAGAGCCCTGCCTGTTTTGCTCAGTGATTAGAGTGTCAGCCTGCAGACCAAAGGATCATGGGTTCAATTTCCAGTCAAGGGTACATACCTTGGTTGGATCCCTGGTCCTGGCCCGGGTAGGTATGGGAGGCAATCAGATGATGTGTCTTACCAGTTCATGTTTCTCTCTCCACCGCCCCCTGCCCCCGCCCCCCAACCTCCTCCCTCTCTTCCCTCTCTATTTTAATCAGAAGAAGCAACCCAGGGCACTCACCAGTGAAGTTAGAGGATAAGGTGGTTCCATTGGAGATGGGTAGCTCTGAACCTGGTATAACTTTGGTCATATGGCGTGGGGGCCGGGGGGATCTCTTCTGTTTTTTCCACTTGGATGAATCACTCATGCCTCCTGCTCTCATTTTCAGCTGGAAATATCACACCTCATTAGCACTGGTATTCAAACTAAAACTTTATCCCTAAAATCTCCCTTCTCTTGGTTCTACTTGTTCCTAGAAAAAGCCTATACCCTGTATCTGTGCCAAAGGAAGAATCTACACCATCA